TTTTAAGAAAAAAACTTAAAACACAATTTGTTTTTAATTTGTCTATAACATTATAAAAAACTATGTGTATATACACCTAGACAAACTGGACATCATTGGGTTTGCTGTTGTCTTAGTCAGCATTTTCGAGATTGGAGCAGTGGATGGAGGGTGTGGGTGAGTTACCCAGCTCCCGTTTTCTTTGGGTGAACGCTGGGTGGAGCGCCGTTTTCTTTTGGCTGCCCATTCTCTGTGATTGAGTCTGGAGGGACTCATTTATACTGATTTAATTGTAAAACACTAGTTTTACAGCTTTTTTCCGAAGGACCTTGGCTCATAGGTTATTTGTACACTGTAGTACAACATATTTGGACCACAGTGTGTCTTTATCCGGTTCGATCACGACCAACATGTAGAGAAATGCCATTACTAGTTAATTTTAAAGAGTGAAAACTTAACTTAAAGAAAACTCATCGCCTGCACAGCCGCCCCTGCAGACGAGGTCTAGAAGCTGTCGAAACCATCTCACAACGGGCTGTCAAGAATTATAATTTGTAAGATTAAAAATTTAAACCCCTAAGGGGTGTTATGTCAGCATATTTCATTCACTGATTGCTGACAAAATACATACTTGTTTGGACTCAAAAGCCCACACCTTACTGCCGACTATAGGTTGATTACAAACTCCTTGCGACTCAAGAACGGGCGCGGTCCCCTGTACTACAAGAAATTCGTAACATACCTTGCTCTTGTAACGTGAGCTATGGTGTTCTTCACCCCCTCGACAGATATCGGTGACTTGATAGAAGCGGGAAGTGCCCTTTGGGATGTCCCGTCTTCCATAGTCTAAGAATACGCCCCACTGGTACACTATGTTCCACAAGATTTGTCTTTATTGTTCACAATCTTATCACAAGAAGTTGATCACATTCTCTTAAATGTTTATTGTGTTTTATGGACAAATTCGTCCACACTAACACACAGATCAGTGTTCTTTGTTGGTTATCCTGGCATCAGTGTCACTTCAGTAGAGTCAAAAGTAATCTGAAGAGCCACAGCGCCCCATGCCGTCACTGCCCCCAGCACAAAAAAAAGCTGACCTAGTACTTTTTGCTTCCTTGCCACTTCCTCGACGAAAACAAAGCAGAATGTTTTATTCTTGCTGTTCTAAGCATAGACAACAAAGTCCACTCTCTTTACCATGGTAATAAAGTGGGAAACAGGATTTTCCTTAATTGTCTGCAAGTAAGAGATGCTGTCTCTTATTAAAAAACACTCTGCAACACTCTGCAAGGAGCCCTCGGTCGAAGCGACCACGTCGCATATTCGTACGGGATCTGTGATCAATTACTCACGTAGCAGTAAACAAGACGCTTGCCCTTTGAGAGGCTAGGCCCCTCAGGGGCCCAAAGGGGCTGAAGGGGGCTGAAGGGGGCTGATACCCCCTCCTGGAGAAAATTTCTCCACACATCTACTTGGGGTGCAATTTTTTTTATTTTCCTTTACAGAGGTGCGCCAGTTTTTGTCTACTGACGTCTCATGTGTCTGTCCCCTAATTTGGGATTATCTTTTTTGTGCTGGAATCTTTTTTAACTTGTTTTTCAGCTTTATTCCCAGATTTCATTTTTACTATGGCACTGCAAGTATTGAGAATAACTGTCTTTACTTCGTATAAGGCGTCGTATTTTTAGAGAGTAGTTCGTTACTAAGTAGCTGGTATTTTCAGCTTTATTAAAATCTTTAAGAAAATATCAGGTTTTGTCTTCGTTCATCTAAAAATTCTCAAAGTTGATAGGGGGTAGTCAGTAAAATGGCCATATATCATAGTTAAATATCACTAATTTGATGGACATCACTGTCCAGTTTATCACCATAAATACACATTCCCGGCGTAGGACTAACTTTATCACCTCAAACCAAATAAATCCCAGATCTAAATAACTATCATAAATAGACGTTTTTCTTTATTTAATTACAGCATTTTTACCGGAAATGGGAATTGTTCTTCTTTTTCACTCGTATTTCCAGTTTTGTTTGGCTTTTCGCCGTCACAACAATCATCTTCATGTTTTTTCTTCCTGATCACAAACTCGTCCATATTAAATTATAGGGCAAGCTACTGTTTAAAGTGGAAAAGTGACTCATTACATCTCCCTGAGAAGTCAACACGTCAATGACGAAAACCAATCATGTTGTGGAAATTTATTTGGTCCAAATAGTTCCACAGCTCAGATCCAGCATGAGCGTCTGGTCGTCTGAGCCGAGCGGCCCTTAAACCCTCCCAAACACGGCATTCTCTGGTTGGCGGTTGGTAAGCTTATTTAATTTATAGATTTACTCTTCAGTGAAGGAGTAGGTAGGTTTACTGGTAGTACACTCATATTAGGTTTACTAAGGGATCTGTAGATAATGAAGAGTAGACCTAAGACCTTAACATAGGTAGTAATAGGCCGATAATGTAGGCAAACATTAGGATAAGTTAGCTAGGGGAACTGGCAGCCCTAGCTTGAATGGCGGGGCGCAAGCACAAAGACAGAATAGCGTCCTTCTTACGATAGACACCGACTGGCCGAGGACGTGCCGGTGCCTGTGAACAAGCAGGCTGCGCCCCCTACCGTTCTTCACATCGTAGTAGACCTGGGAAAATCTGGTTAAGAGGCACCTCGATGTACCGTAGTATGATCCCCCATCATCCCATACAGTAAGACGAGATATTCACCTTTTCCCGTATGTATCTGGCCAGTGACATAGGAGATTGTGGGTTGCGTTACTGTGGCTCGGCGTGCAACAGAGAGCATGCCCATTAATATACCCAGCGTCACAGAGCCGTTTG